TGGCCTTGTGTTGGTAAATGGTTTTGCAGGTAAGTAGCTGTGTGAAGTCCTTCTCCCCAGAATCCATCCAGCAACCTTGGATCAAGCAGAAGGCATGCTATCATGTTTAGCGGGCTTTGATTCTTTTCTGCTGCAACCCTATTTTACTTAGGGTATAATTTAATGCTGCCCCTCCCACCTGCCCACCACCCACATTTTATGTCTTTATGGTTCAAATGAAGGCTTGGGGGGAAAACGCTCAGTCAGGATGTTTTAAGTTAGTATCCACAGTGGGTGCACTCTGAGTGCTGGGTCAGCTGTGTGCTTGATCAAGTGCCTGGAATTAGATCTGGGTGATTTTGTGACTGGGGTACTTTGGGGTGCTCAGAGTTCCCTTCTGGCTTGGTGTGTGTCCAAAACCTTTCTACTGGAAAACTGCTCTGGATAATTTCCAGTTTGTACCCAGGGCATTCCTGGTTCGTCTCTAAATCCAGATCAGAGAAAGGCCGTCCAGTTCCGCTAGCAAAAGCATAGCTTCATCTTTCTTATTAAACTGGCAAAAGAGGATAAAAGGTAGGCAAAAACAGGGAGAGACATGAGCAATAAGCAGGAATTTACATTACCTATATACAGTAGTTATATCGAAATGCATAGGACATTCCAGAGCCACTGGAAACTCTACTATGGGTAATTTGCATGAAGGGAGTAGCCTTTGGTTATTTGAGCTGTAATGCTTTCATGTACATTACAGTAGAAGAATAGAGATGGAAAGTAAGACACCAGGTGATCCCTCTTCTATTGTGCACCATGAATGAAGCAATATGATAGATAGGATGATGTATCAACAATTACAATGCTAGTAATGTTGCAGATTTGAAAGATAAAAATGCCTTTTTATTTGAAAAGTACAATGGAAAAATTGTTCTCTGTCTGGTGTGACAGGTCATATATTTCCTTGTAGAAATGAAAAAGAATTCAGCAGTTCTTGATTTGTTTGTGATCAGCATATGAACATAAAGCTAGAAAGAAATCCCAAGATTAGTGGTACGAGGTTTAAACTGATGGATTACTAAAACATAGCCATTCATCTAACTAAAAGCTTTGCCCAACTATCATATATTTTTATTAAATGCCAGCAAAGTTGAAGGCAGGACTATTGTCAAATGTGAAGCAAAAACATAGCAAGGGATGGATTAATTTTTTTAATCCCAAAGCAAAAGCACATTTCTTCAGAATCCCAATAACCTCCACCAAAGAAATAACACGAAGTGAGATTGCAAATGTTTCTTCATCATGTAATTCATCGGCTCATCTGCATTAAGACGTCAAAGCAGCCTCAGGGTGTGTTCTCAAATTGTCATCATGCAGCATACTTTCTGTCTGAGAAGGAATTATTGATATCTTTTCATTATCTTAATGATATCCATGTACATACGTTCAGTTGCATCGAGTCCCCAA